GAAGTCCACACATCTTCCAGTGGCCAAGGTTGAGAAACACTGGTTTACAGCATCTTCAGTTGTGCTGTGGGCCTGGTAATTCATCTAATTACCAAGCAGAAGAGAAGGTTGAGCAGGGACCTGATGGCTGTCTTTAAATACCTAAAGGACTGCTGGCTGGGGAATTCTGGGAGTTGAAGTCCACACATCTTCCAGTGGCCAAGGTTGAGAAACACTGCTCTAGAGATTGGAGTCAGCCTTTCTACTAGAAAAGCTGAGGGTTAATTAATTCTAGGCAATCTAGCAGGTCCAGTGAGCTGAACTGGGCAATTTCACATAGAAAATAGTGATTCACAAAGATACATACCCGGGGGGTGGGAGGAAGGCCACCACTTTCCACTTTTGGAATCCTTCCTCTGAATGGCCACGTGTGAACTCCTCTAGATCATAGCAAAGTCACTGAAAAATACAGTAAGGACAAGTAAGGATCTGGAGTCACAACCTGACAGTTCCAGGTAGATTTTCCAAAGACTGGCACAGGCAACTGGTAGACAACCTGAGTGGAGGATGGCAGAAGGAGTCAAAATAGTCAGGATTCTACTCCCCCCCCCAACAAACATGCATTTGCTTCTCCCCACCTGCAAGCCAGCCCTACATGCAGACCTCCATGCCCTCATCTCACTATTCCATTTTGGAATAAGCCAAACAGCACCGAAGAAAGAAATAGTAAGTCAAAGAAATTAAAAACACAAGATGAGAAATAGGAAAGGAATTGCTAAAACTAACACTCCCCTATCCTCCTACATCATGCTGGCTTCCATCACCCCCACACCCCATTTTTATACGAGGCCTTTTGTTCTTTAAACTTCTTCTCGACTCTCTCTTTTTTATGAGGAGCACCCACCCATAAATTTCTTGATCTTCCCCTCCCTCTCAAATCAGGGGTATTTATATTGTCCTGCTCCCTCCTTTTTGTCGTCCCACGTATTCTTTTCACATTTATCCAAACAGACCTTAAACAACCAAGGGGGCACCCCCCCATCCTTGTCTCCCCCCAGCCAATGCCAAGCCAACTGGCAATAAGCGTTCCACTTATTCTCAGCCTCTTTTCCCACTTCTACTGCTTTCATTGAACAACCGTCAACTCCACCTTTGCACAAAACATTTCTGGAATCTATTCATTTTAGAATATGCTTTTTTCTAAATCATCTGGTGTACAATGGCCTTTCTTTCTCTCATCCATACATTTCCCAGTGACCCCTTGAAGAGCAAAACTCTGATCTGCACGCCCCTGGCCTGACGTAAAGCTGCAGTGCCCTTCCCAAACTTTGTTCACGCTCACCTTTTGTACCCTTTCAGTCAGAATTCTGCAGCACCTTCCCACGCACACTTCACAAACGAATCCTGCTTCTTTTTTTTCATTCTCTCTAGCTACCTTTGTAGCAGTGAATAATGAGTGGCATTCCCCCCCCCCGTCATCAGGGGCAGGTGAAGTGTTTACATGTATGTTAAACGTTGCACAGCCATGCCATCAGCAAACCGTGCCCACATTTTCGCAGTCCTCCAGTCACGCCATCTAGATCTGCAGCCTTGTCGTTTTTCAACATCCTTACAGCGTTTATGACTTGCCTTTCATCTCTGGGATTCTTCCTTTATGGCGTTTGTTTCTATGCCACCGTTCAGCATACCTCTCTCATGCCTGTGATGGGGGGCGAGGGGGTAATTACCACTCCAGGCAATACACTTAATAAAAACATACAATGATTCACAGCACCATTTCTTTGGTGACTGCATAATGATGCTCCCTCTTCCCTCCTCCCAACAAATGATCCATGCCTTTCATGGAGCCGTAGGAAATCCCTAAGAATAACTGTGAAAGCCTTAACAAAAATTCCCAAATTCCTTTTCAGACAATGTAGGGTTGGAAGGAACCTCTGAGGTGCTTTAGGAATGCTTTTGTTAGGCAAACTCCAGATCACGCAAGGAAGCTTCTGAAATCTCCTTGGACAGGAAACCAGAGAAATGTTCTGGACTGCACATCTTTTGGGAAACTTGATGTAGTCTAAAATGATGGTGCTAAAGTGGAATTCTGGCCATTTTATTTAGATGTATTTTTTATTTGCTAGAATTAAAGCCAGCCTTTGCTCCTGCGGATTTAGGGAGCAGTTCCACCCTCCAGTTGGGCACCCCGCAGCAGGAGGCGGGATGGGCCTGACCTGG